TTATGTTGGTCATTCCCCCGGACACCCATTCACATGACGAATGAAGACGCAAACTCACGGGAGGTACGAAGATAAACAATAACGGTAACGTCGCTACATGCGCCTGCTTTAGAATTCTCATTTCAAAACACTCAGAAGTTCAGAGCAAGGAAGGCCTGGCCAGAAATGCTTATGCATCTTTTATGCAACTTTAAACTGAGTTTTTGTGTTCCTAATTAATTAAAAAATGGAAATATGAATGTTTTATCTTCCATCATGACTCAAAGGTTTTTCTTTCATTTTAAAGGGACTGTCCAGGACGCCAACCTTCATTTCAGAAATAATGAAAAGCCCGTTTTACAGTCTGAGCTCGGTCTCAATCTGCTGTATAAGAAGTGGGTCCTCACGTGCAGTTCACAGAAGGTGGCATCTGAACATCCTGCTGCCAGGACCCAGGCACGAGCAGCCCCGGGGTGCTTGTGTCTGGTGCCTCTCGGGAAGGGCTCCTGTAGAGCGCTGAGTCACAGGCTCCTTCCACCTGGCCCATCCGGCACTCCGACCTTCCACTTTCCTCAAACTTCTGTGGTTGTTTCCCTTCCTGTAGGGCACTGCTCCGCAGGGCAGGAGATCTGAGAATCCGCTCTCTGCTCCTGTGCCTCCAGCGGTGGCCAGTCCGCTCTGCCTGCCTTTCCGTGCCCTGTGATCCATCCAAGCAGGGCCTTGGCCCTGCTGAAATCCACAGGGCCTGGCCTCCTGCCCACTCTGGAGCACACGAGGGTCCTGCCCACGCCGTGTGCTCCCAGGCAGCAGCCGTCCTGCCATTCACTGGGTCCACCCCTGTGGCCACTGTCTGGACTGCTCCTTCCCTTGAGCCTCACCCTCTATGGCACTTGCTGTTCTGCGTGTCACCAGGACGAGGATGAGGACGGGGCTGTCCCCGCCCCACTTCCTTGGGTTTTTTAGGGCACTGCGAAGGACTTTTCCCATTAAAATGTATTTAATTCACAGGCAACTTTTTTCCCAGATCTGCCTTACCCCGTTTTCCTGGCTGTGGGTGCAAAGTTCACTGTTGCTGCCAGAGGCGACTGATTAGTTAAAAAACACATACTGCGCTCAAGGCTAGCAACCACTTGTACGTCGTTATGAAAGGATATTAAAAACCATGCCCAGGACCTGGGTCTACAGCACAGCACAGCTGTCAGTGTGCCATGCCGAGTGGCCTAACATGGACAGTGCCCACGTTATCCCCTCAGCAGGGAAGGGAGTCAACGCCCGAGTTAGTGACAAAGGAGACCCTGGCACAACTTCCTGGTTTTTATTTTTAAAATCATATTTTATTGCAGCTGATCACAAGCCCCTGCCCAGAAGAGGCTGTCTGAAGCTGTGCAATCAGTGTTTCTGAGAAAAGACTTCCAATCGGGATGCACTGTGGGGCCCTGAACACCTGCACCTCACTCCCTGCTGCGACAGTTCCCCGCTGACACCGGCTCCGACAAACCGGCACGGACGAGCACAACCCAACCAACCCGTGCCTAATTCCTAAGAAACCACAGGGTCTGCGAAACAACAGCTGTGCCCTCACCCCACCCAGGGGCAGTCCAGTCACAGATGCCGCCCCACGCTGGCCCGGAAGCAGAGGTCTGCCTTCCTCTCCAACCTCAGAATGCAACCCTGCCGAACAGCCGAGAACCACCTGCTGCCCAGGATGCTTTCCGGGAGCCCCCGTCCGGACCACGTCCCCATGTCCTGTCCTCTGCAGCACACACACACCCCTCCACCCTGCACTGTCGCCTCTGCCGACCCAGCTGCGCGCTCCGGAAGCTGCAGCTCAAGGGGCCACTGCCCTCTCTCTGCTAGGCCCAAGCAGCAGGTACAGCATTGGCCTGGCCAGGTGCTTCGTGCAGAGGGGTGAAGAGGGAGGGGAAGAAGGCGGAGGGCGGAACAGGAAGAGGAAGGAGGGGGAGGGGTGGAACAGGAAGAGGAAGAGGAAGGAGATCCTGAGCAGAGACCAAGGGTGAGGGCAGGGCAGCCTCAGTCCTAGCGTCTGTTCCTGCCGTCCCTTCTGCTCCGGTCACTGCTCTCTGGCTCCCAGCTCAGGTCCCACCTCCTGTCTCTCCCTCCCCTCCAAGGATCCCGGAAGTGGCCAGGGACACAGAGCCGACGCCGCCTCTGTGCTGTGGCCCGTCCTGCTGCGGTGGGGAGACCTGGTTCCTGGCGGCAGGTTGGGAAGCGCCTTTCTTGCGCTGCCTGTGAACCGGTGCTCTGACAGTGCGAGTGAGACGCTGCCTCCCGCCTGACCTTTTCCCGTGTTCGTCAGCTGGCTCAGAAACGCGGGCCTGAGAGAGGAGTTCTCCTGCTGTGGGACCCGCGGGCCGCCCCCCGGGTCAGATGCGCAGCTTCGAGAGCCTTCCTGGGCAGGGTGGCTCCTGTGCCATAGAGGCCGGCTCTCCCGCCTGTCCCTGCCTAAGAAAGCCGATGGCTAGTGCAATGGCATAGGACCATGACCCAGCTCCCCCGGGAGGGCCTGTCTATGAGGGAAGCCTTTCGCTGCTACTACGGTTGCTTCAAGTTTCTAGCATCCTAGTGTCACGAGAGTCACTGTCACATCACCTACGCCAAGCTCCGGGACTCCCCTCTTCCCCTCTCCTAACTTAGGCCAAGAGTGGGGTTGGCCAGGACCCTCCGCCCTGCCGTCCTCCTGTCGCAGTGGCTGTTCCCTCCTCAGACTAGGGGCCGCCAGCCCAGGGCGTCACCTGGAAGAGCGGCTCGGGAGCTTCTCCAGGTCCCAGGGACCCACATCATGCTCCCAGGCCCAGCGCCCCCTGTCTGAGTGTGGTGGATAAGAAAGTGCCCCGCTCCCTGGCAGGAGGGACATTTATCAGAGCCAATGTCCCAGCACCCTGCTGACAGGTGTCACTGCCCACGCCCCACAGAGGGGAAGTGCAACCCGGAGGAAATAGCGCGTGTAGCCCTGCCTGGGACTCTCACTACAAAGCAGCCGCTTGCCCATGGTGGTGAGGACTCTGCCCAGGACAAACGGCATCTCACCAGAGGCAGAGTCTGACACACACAGGAGAAGGTGGGAACGTGGTGCCCAGAAGGCACCGGCTTCGATCCAGGCACAGATACCGAGGGGAGAGGCACAGTTTGGGAGCACTTGGAAGGCGGATCACCATATACGGCGAAGGCTGACATTTAAAAATGTATTACGGTCAAAGCCACTGCCTTGAGTTCCCCTCAAAATCCTCCCCATCAATTTTGAACACTCAAAATGGGAACACTCATCCCATTGCTCTGGCCACTTTCTGAGCAGCTCTGGAGTGCTCTTTCCTGGGTGTCTTTACCAGGTGTGAAAAGACAGTGAATCTTGCTGTCGAGCACCATCCAATGGAAAGGCAGCTCGTAAAGATATGACGCTGTGTCCTCATCCACCTTATTCACCAGATCTGGCTCCATGCAACTTCCTGCTCTTCCCCAAAGTCAAAATGACCACAACAGGGAAACATTTTGAATTGATTCAGGACATCGAGGCAGCCAGGACAGCACAACTGAAGACACTGAAGACAGAGGACTACAGAGCTGTTGCAGGAAATGGCCAGGATGGTGGGATGGGTGTGTTCAAAGTAGGGGAGGACTTTGAGGGGATTCACAGTAATGTGTCTCTTCTGTAACACATTTTTAAATGTCAGAATTCACGGTGGGTTCTGACCATACCTTGTGTCTGACTTGCAGCAGATGCTGCCTATGGATGCACTGCGCAGGACGCCCCTCCTGTGTCCCGTGTGCCACGTCCCGCTCTGCACCCACAGGCCACGCCAGCCCTGCTGGGTCTTGGGACAGCGGGCTTCTGCTTTGCCCACAGTGCTGCCCTGGGCCTCTCACCCAGAGCAGCAGCTCCCCCAGACTTCCTCTAGACACAGAGCTCATACATGGCACCGCTCACTCCACACGGCTCATCCACATGCCCACATGCTGAAAGCTCAGACCCCTCCGAGAGGCGTCCACCAACGACTCCAGCCATCCTGGACTCAGCGTCCCCGGGGCTGACTCCAGGGAGTGGGACCCGAGCAGAGGCTGCACCCTTCCTGGACGATCTCTGCTCATCTGATGCCACGGTGACGCTCCGGGAAGCTGAGCGGCCGGGACCCCTTCATGGTCCAAAGCTAACACCGGCCATCCCACTGCTGTGCTGCCCTCCAGCCCCGCCTGCCACTTCCAGCTACGTCCTCCCGGGCCTCTGCCTCCTCCTCAGCGGTCCCTGACCCGCTGAGGCTTGCCAAGGTCACTGCCTCTGGGCCTGTCCTCCTCCCTCCACCTTGACCCTCTCTGGAGCAGGGGAGCGGTGCCCTCCAGGCCAGCCAGCACATTTTTGGTCATTATTTGAGGCACTAATCCCTAATCACAGCTGTATCTGTGTGTTCAAGATAGTTTCAGCCTGTGCCATCTCTAAAACACCAGGAAGAGCTGCAGCAACCTCTCCAGCTCACCAGGTAATCGGCCTCAACATGAAGAAGGTTCTGAAACCTTCTACTCTGGTCAGATGTTCCCAGACACTCAAGGAAGAGCCAGAGCTCACTTCCCACCCAATGCTATATCCTGCTTCCTTCAGCCAAGCCTGGCCACGCGACTGCCCAGGGCTGGCTCTGAGCCTCCACCAGGCGCCCCCTCTGGGCAGTGTTCGAGGCACACACTCAGAGCTGACGTGTGTTCTAAGCACTGCTTCCTACAGGAGTGCATTCTGCTTGGACCTAAAGTCCCTGGAAGGTGGGGCTGCAAGAAAGAATCCGGATGTCCGCTAATAGGAAGCCATTTGCGCAAGTGGCTTGGGGGCCGTGGGTCAGGGCCACTCAGGTCATGCACAGCACCTAACAGTCCGTGTGGCGACCTCAGTCTTGGGCCTGCCCTCACACTGTCCTGTGCACCCACTGCGGAGCTAGACCCGTGTCTGGAGCACACAGCGGGCACAAGGCTCAGTGCCCCATGCTTGGGAAGTGGCTGGCGCCTGGCTCAGCCGCACTTACTTGGGGAGGTGGGGGAGGCTGGGCCCCCTTCCGTGGATGTGGCCGGAGGCTTCGTGTCCGGCACTGGCAGAGGCACCGGCCTGGCCATTGGTGGTGGCGGTGGCGGTGGCAGCATCGGGGTGGGGAGGAATGGGTTGTGCACCTTGCCTTGGCTGCTTCCATTGGGCTGCAGGGTGGGAGGAAACAGAACACACAGGAGAGAGAAGGCACAAGTCAGACAGCAGTCACTTCCAGACCTGAAGCTGCACCAGGCACAGCCCGTGGCGGTCACCAGCTGTGCACCGAGGAGCTCAATTCTAAGTCCCTCCTGGCAAAGAGCTGTGTGAGGCAGCTGCAGAGCACAGGGCAGGATGCACGCTGCCTTATTCTACGTGTCTTGCCTGGACCACACCGCCCTGCTCACGTCTGGCCCTAAGGTGACTGCCGACGACAGGGTCTGCGTCCGTCACCAGCTCACCGATGCTGCTTGGAACGCTGTGGCTCTGTGCTAATTTCCCCTTTACCATCAGTCTGCCAATTACTAGTTATTTAATATCCGAGTGTGCCACAGACTGGTGCCAGTCCACGGTGCCTATTGCATAGTAAAGGGAAGTTTCCTAAATAAGCATTCGGGGCATATCCTCACCTTTCAAAGTTGATCTTCTATAACATTTAATACATGTGTTAAGGGAACACAAAATTTTTCTTTCACATATTGTATAACATCAGGCAGAGAAATCTTAAAATTCAGCTGCTGGAATTCTGCTAGGCAAAAATATCACTTCTAATTTTGATTTAAATTATATAAGCATATGTCACAAGAGTCATATTTGTTTGGCTGCCTGGCGTTAAAACAACGAAATAACAGCTCTTGAAGAAAAAGTTTCCTTCTGGGCCGGGGATTTAGCTCAGTGGTTCCGCCACCGGCCTTACAAACACAAGGTCTGGAGTTTGATCCCTGGTACCACATAAAAAAGAAAAAAAGAAAAAATTTCCTTCTGAAGAGAGCAGTAAAATCCATTTTATTCTTAAGATTTTCAGGATAGCTCTGTGAAGAGACTTGCTGCAAGCCCTGTAAAATTTAGATCAAAATGCAGAACTTGGCCTTTGACAGTCACATAGGATGATGTCAAGACCGCTAAAAACCAGGTTAAAACTCAGGAGTCAGATGCCTGGTGCTGGGGACCAGGACCGTGCTTGGTTTCCCAAGTGGCTTTGTGGACAGAATTTCCAGATTTCATCAGTGACACCGTTCAACAAACAGCGACAGCGCCTACACAGGCTGCAGCCCCAGGTCAAACTCCAGCTGGTGGAGCTCTTGCCACCCAGCTCTCAGTGTGAGACGCGCACCTCTGCAGCTCAGCCTCTGTCCCCTCCTCGTGCACCGATATACTGAGTAATGTTCCTCCAAGTCTATCTTGTCTGATGATCAGGAACATGGTGCTTTCTGGCCAGCGAACTTGCCAGTGTGTTATTTCTGAGTGCACTGGAAGGCCCTAAGTGAATGTCTTAGGAGAAGCCAGGCAAATGAATATACAAGCAACAGGGAAAAATGGCACCATATTGATCTGTTGTCTAGACAGAGCTGTATCTGCGAACACATCACCAGACTGGTATCAGTCCACATGCCCATTCTGGCTCAGATGTGCAGAATCGGGTACTTCTGCAGGGACGGAAACCAGGGGTGGGACCTTGAGGCAGGGCGACTGGGACGGCAGCCAACCCGGCTTCCTGGGCAGGTGTGAGGAGAGCAGCGAGGCCACTCGGGGCTGCCAGCCGGCCGTGTCTCTCACGGTCGTCACAACTGGCTTTGGGAAAAGCTCTTCACTGTAAACATTTACCTCTATCTTTTTAATAAGACTAGTGCTCTGAAAAGTTGCTTTCACATTTGGAATGTTATTTCAAATTGTGATTCTTGGGTTTGAGAAAAAATAAAAACATTCATTCTAGGTTATTGAATATGGTTTAGCTTTGTACAAAAATAAGTGGGAAAGATAACTATTTGCAGAAATAACAAACCATAATAAACTGTGCCTCTAGCATCTTGAGTTCAAGCAATGGTCAGCTTGATCTTAAGTGTTAGAAGACTGTATTTTTAAAAAATATCGACCCGGTTGATCTGAAACATCTGTCCCCTGCCGCCTCTACCGTCCTCCACAACCCCAGATCATTATTTAAAATTATTTGGTCTTTCTATTTTGTTAACTGTGTGTGTCCTGGGGTTGGAATGCAGGGGGTGGGATTATCAGCCCAGAGAATTTAGAGGATTACACAGCTCAGCCCGGAGATGATTTATATCCTGGACTCCACAGCCAAAATCTTAACACAAATGCTGTGTTTAAACCCCGGCCAATCGCTCCTCGCAGCGAGTTAACTTTCCCACCACCTAGAGAACACACGACATCGGCCTGCCAGCGCAGCACCTGAGCACATGTCCCTGGGGGCGCCCCATCTCTACATTCCATCAGCATTTTTTTCTAAAGAGTTTGAGAAAAGAGTCTCCTTACATTGAGGAACCCCACCTGTCCGGCCTGCTGACCAGCGTCAGGGCAGACAAGCTGGACGAACTCCTTCAGCGTCTCCTGAGGGTGGTACCGGATGGCCGGGTGGGAGAAGTATGGCCCGGGCTGCTGGATGATGGGGGATGTCGGGAAGTGCAGCGTCGATGGCGTGGCGTGAGGGCTCGCTGGGGAGAGAACACAGTGGGGTTAGTGGAGAGCGGGTGTGGCTGGTGGCCCCTGACTCGGACTCGGCACCGGTCCGGTCCAAGCGCGTGCGAGGAGCCGACTTCCACACCACACAGGGCCTCTGGCTGCCTCCCTCCAGGCTTTGAGACGAGCTCACAGGTTAGGTCAGGGTCGAGCTTCAAGCTGTCCATGGCCACTGCACATGAGTTATAAAGGCACTGATAATCCCTGGGGGAGGTGAAGATTATTCATTACTTTAAGAGCCTTTTTAATGAAGCTGGCAATAAAAAATGTATCTGGTAGATTAGACCTGATTTAACTGACATCACATGCGGCAAATCCGAGTTTGCACATACGGGTTGCCTTTCACGCCGCAGACATAATTCACGGTTAGAGCTCTGTACCCTTTCAAAGAAATTTCTAGGGACTAATTCAGGATGAAATTTTTTGGAAGTATGCAAAGTAAGCGACCACTTAATGAACCTGTACCATTTGGGGCTCACTTTACGTGGAAGGTGTCTGTCAAATTTCCTACTGTTTCAAAGCCAATGCAGAAACTTCAGAGCAGGGGAACCCACAGGCCAAGTAGGGGTGTCCCTGCTAAAATGTGGGTCCTCAGCCCATAAAAACTGATAAAAGACTCAGACAACTATGACTCCCTTACATTTGGACCCTGATAAATTTCATTTGTACGAGAAGGTTGCATTACATTAAGAAAACTTAAGTGAGATGCTTAGTAATTTTCTGAGAGAACTTTTGCCCCCACTTGGAAGGATGTGACTGATGAAACCAGCTGCGGACCAGTGCCGCACAGGCCGAGGGTGGAAGACCTCTGAGCTAGTCAGCTGTCGCCTCCCACCAAGTGGGAGCAACTCTCCCGAAGGAGGGCAGATGAGCATACGGTCTTTGCTGTACTCTCTGCAGTTTAAGCCTTTGAACAGAAGGAGTCTCTGCAAAGAGAAACACAGGACACACATGTGTTTGGCGAGAAAGACTTCTCTAATACGAAGAGGGACTCACGCTGAAGAAGCCACCCCTGGGCGTGGCCAGGCTGGACACAGGGCTGCTGGGGGCTGCAGCTCCTGGTTCCCCGCTGGGACCAAGGAAGGGTGAGAATGGCTGGGGCTGCATGGCCCACGGCAGCAAGGGGAGGCTGTAAAGACTGGGAACAGCGCTTCGGAGAGGAGCCCGAGTCCAGCCCCTGCCTTGCAGGTGGTGTGGCAGAAATGGCACAGCGGAGCAGGGGCAGTGACATCTCACCCTCGCCACACAGCCGAGGACATTCTGAGCACAACCCAGCTGAGCCAGAATCTCCGCCACGCTGCCCTCTCCAACTTCCTCTTCTCCCAGGCATGCCCATCCCAGCAGACGCTTTTCTGTCCACATCCTTGGCTGCTCCTGTGTCCTCAGAACCAAGTCCAGCTCTCACAAGCAGTTGATTGTGCAAATAAACCAAGTAAGTGAGCAATACAGAAAAGAAAAACCACCATACAACTTGATAAGAACAAACTCCACTTCTCCACCTGGTAACGAGGCAGCCACAGGAGAAGTGGGGCCTTCCTCCCATGGTCTCTGAGTTCAAACACAGAAGCCAAAGAGCTCAAGGCTCTGATCAGCCCTTAACCTTGGAAACTGTGCTTCTGACTTAAAAGAACCAAAGGATTTTTCATGCACTGCAGTGAAGTTATCCTTGTTGGAGGCAAGAAGCTCTGACCTCAAGCCCTGTGTCCGACTGCATAATCTCTAGGTAGTGGTGGAAGGTGGTATCTCCCAAACTAGGCTGGGTGGACAGAGCCCAGCGAGACCACGCAGCCAACTTCTGCGGCACGTCAAACACAAACATGGCAACTCCACAGTCAACGGTCCCTGAGAAGTGGGCCTGTGGTGATGCCTGTAATCCTAGTACTCCAGAGGCTGAGACAGGAGGATCGCAAGGTTGAGCCCAGCCTGGCAACTGAGTGACTTAGCAAGACCCTGGCTCACAGTAAATTCAATCCCCAATAACACGCACGCACACACCCCAAGAGGCTGGTTTTGATGATAAAGAGGCAGAGTGGCGCCACCTCAGGTGCTCAGCCGGAAGAGACTTGTCTCTTAGATTAACACATCCTGGTAGCCAGCAAGGAGCTTAGCCCAAGGGAGAAATTCCCTTCAGTGAAGGCCAGGCCAGTGAAAGTTCAAAAAATGTGACAGAGGAAATCATTTGACAGAACCATGGAATCTCTCCATTAATTGTTTTTTTCTTTTTTTTTTTTTTTTTGTACCGGGGATTGAACTCGGGACTTTGTGCTGGCGAGGCAGGCGGCAGAACCACTGAACTAAATCCCCGGCCCTCTCTATTAATTGTTAATAAATATCTTTGCCTTCATTTGTGGCTGTTAAAAATGTAAAGAAAATCATCAGCAACTTAAATTTGGACTTATATTTCCTTATATTTCACTAAAACAATTTATTCACCTTTTCCTTATGGCACAAAGTTTAACATAAAACCTAGGCCACATGGTGCTATAACTACTGACTTATTAGGGTCCATTCACCCTCAATGAGTGCCAGGAAGCTGCCCAGCGTGTGGCTTCCGGTCAGTCCATCCATCGCCGAGGTATGCGAGCTGGGAGCTTTCTGCTTCAGCCATCAGCTCACGAGAAGCTGGGTGCAGATCACCCGGGGTCCTCGGCTTTCGTTCCTCCAACAGAAAACAGGTGAAATATCTGCCGTCTCTCTAGAGAAAGTCGTGTTCCCATTCCACCGACGTCTTCTCACCGATGCTCAGAGCTGTGTTCATCGATGCCTCACTTTTTCTTCTTTCCTCTCTATTCCTTTCCTCTCCTTATTGTGGTTTCATATAATTTTAGAAAGTCACTGGGTCAGATCAGACAGTGAATTCATGAAATGTGTTTTGAGATGGCCACACAGGCCCTGCAGAGAGAAACTACCACTGTGAACCCGGCACGGTGCTGATGAATGCACAAAGGGTGGTACGGGTCCAAATGTCAGATGCAGAGAAACATCTCCTATGGATGTGTGTGTGAGAGTAGTTTACATAATAAAAAATTATAGCACATTATGTAAATGCATATTTAGATCCTTTAAAGTGTGCATTATTTACTTGAGAGTCAATAAAGGCTTTTCTCAAGTGGTTTCGGTTTATTGCAGTGCATCCATCTGTATCTGTGTTGATGTTAATGCAATTTTGTGTACTGAAAGACTACAAAATTGGCTGCTTCTAGGGTTCTGAGAACCAGGGCCAGTAGCAGACAGCGACAGACACACTCACCCTGGGTGGCTCTCACAACTAGTTTAACCTTTAACTAGCAGCTAAACTGGTTTACAGCAACTGCTTGGGCATTCTGTGAGGAGTCCAAAAAACACAGGAAAGAAGGAAATGTGATCGGGTTTCTCTGGCTAGAACAGCACTGCGTACTCTTCCTGAATGGAGCAGCCACAGTGAAACCATGGAGAACCAAAACTTCCCAGAAGGCGTCAGGCTCGGTTACTTGTCCTGAAACACACGTATTACTGAGTACTTAAACTACACAGTGAGAGAGCGCAGGCCATAGAGGCTGGTTTACTTGTTTCCGCACACCCCTGCAATTCTTTAAGATGGGGAAAAAGCTAAATGTTCAACCCAACTGAATATGAATATATATATACACACACACTCATCTGTCTGTCTGTCTGTCTGTCTGCAATTGCGTCCTCCTCCTTCCGGAAGCAGCCCCTGGAGCCTGGGGAGAAGGCCCGGGTCATTCCTGCAGTGCTGTGTGTGATCTGGCAGAGACTTGACTGTCTTGCCGCATCTCAGTGGAGGCCGCGCAGTGCCAGAGTGAGCCACAGAGGTGCACACAAAAGGTGGCAGCCAAGGTGGTGACCTGACAGGCTTGAGGGCCTGTATTTTTGTGCTTTTAAGTTTTAGGAAACAAAAAGTGGAAGAAACCAATCTCTTACCATTTTCAGCCGTTTTCCCCAAGCTCAACCCCCAAGAATTCTATGGACTCTCCCACATTTTTCCCCCAAACCAAAATGTCACAGGGGAAATGTGTTCTCTGTATGCCTGACGTTGCCTAATTGCTTTATTCCTTGCCTGTGAACCGTTGCAGATTCCCACGGACTAGACACAGGATTGGGATTCTTTTCACGTTAGCTTTGCTTTCTGGCACCAGACTCTAAATCCCAGTCGCTCTTCTATGGGAGGTGCTGCAGAAAGCTGTCACGAGGCAACTCGAACAGTAACATGGACCCTCCAGGTGCAGGGGCGCTCAGACAGCGCCACACCCCGGCTCCTTCCCAAGAGGGCCTCGCGTCCGAGGGGCGTCAGTCTGCATTCATCCACGCTGAGTCCTCGGTTTCCATGAGCACCTTCACGGGAGGAGCCGTCCTCGGTCTGCAGCAGCAGCGACAGCAGCGACAGCAGCAGCAGCAGCAGCAGCAGCAGCAGCAGCAGCAGCAGCAGCAGCGAGGTGTCTTTCAACAAGAGCAGACATTTCCCCAGGAGAGGGTGGCAGGAAGGACTCCTGATTCTCCATCCCAAAGTCCAGACTTTCAAATGGGCACAACTTCAGGAGACTTTGGGAAGAAAAAAAATCCTACTTGAAAAAATCAGCCTTCTAGAAGGGCAAATGGAACCTGGACTGTTTGGATTGCCAACTCCTGTGTACTCCACTTCTTCAGAAATTCAAAACCACACGATAGAAAGCCATTACAGCTGACCTAAAGCTGACAAGTCTAGCTTAATGGTCCATAGCTATGATTTATAAATCATGCATGAATCAGCCTGCCATTTATGAAAGCCGAGAAGTTTGGAGTTACAGTATTTATTTTAACAGAAACACGAGGAAAGAGGAGTTGGCAATGGTTTTCAAGCCTTTGGGAGGGGGAGGCTATTCTAAAGAACGAAGCCTTGACTCGGGCAAGCTAAGGCTTTCCAAAACAAGAAGCCCTAATCTTTAACAGCACTGAGATGGCATGTGGAAGAACTGGGAAATGTCAACCAAGAGAATCA